CCCCCCCCGGCCAAGGGTGTCCCTCTTTTCCAATCTGAAAATCTGGTCACCTTATTCTTATCCAAATATGGTAACCATATTTATAGGCTGGCATTAAGTATTTTAAATCATGCTTAATTATTTCCTAGGTAACCTCAACTAGAATGAAAAGGGAATGCCTCTTCGGGCTTTCTTTAAATACTAATTATGATTTATTGAAATCATAATAGCTGCTATAATCATAATATTTAGTATTTTCATGTTTCTGTGGGAGATGAAACATTCACCAATTAACCACCACCAATCTTCAATTACTGTTTGTTGTTTCATACACAGTTGTGAATTAAGAATGTATTTTATTTTACCTCTCACCATTTCCTATTTCTATAACAGATACCAAAAGGGTAATAAACTGGATTTGGTCTTTACAGTATTGTATGTCTTTTTCTCTGAGAAATATTATAGAATTTTCTGGTGATAGCTGGATCAGTTATTTTTTCTGTTGATATAATCTTTGAATTGCCTAAAAACCTGAACCTGACTCCGAAAAAAGAAAGAACGGATTAAAGGAGTCCTATTTTACTCCACTAGTCATTGCCGACTATAGGAGACAGTGCTCATCCTCATTTCAAGGCCATTGAGCTAGGGCTATCTGAAGACATTTTTGTTGTCATGTGTCCAGCATGACATCATGGAATGCTGTTATTTTCCCACAAAGCCTCTAGCTCCTAATTATCTTTGTTGCTCTTCTCTATACTCTTTCAAGAGTCTCAATAACCTTTTTATACTATGGTGACTAAAACTGGATGCAGTGTTCCAAGTGTAGTCTTACCAGGGCTTTATAAAATGGCACTAACACTTCATGTGATTTTGATTGTATCCCTCGTTTAATGCAGCTTATGCAAATGCATTGGCTTTTTTGGTGGCTGCAGCACTCTGCTAGCTCATATTTAAATGATTGTCCATCTGGACTCCAAGATCTGTCTCACAATTACTGCTATTCTATACCTGTATATTTGTTTTTTGTTGCCTAAGTGTAAAACCTTACTTTTCTCACCATTGAATTCCATTTGTTAAATAGGGCAGTTTGAATGCAGTTTGTCAGCCAGTTAGGAATCCATCTTGGGGTGGTGCTGTCTATTCCACATTTTTCTAACTTACTAAGAAGTAAGTTCTGGTCTACTTTGTAAAAGACCTTACTGAAATTCCAGTATACTTTGCCCAGAGCATTTTGCTGGTCCACTAATTTAGTCACTTGGTCAAAGAATAAAATAAGATTTGCTTGTCATAACCTTTTTTTTTTTTTGACAAACCCATGTTGCCTTCTAGTTATAACTTTGCTTGCTTCTAGTGTTCACAGATCTGTTGCTTAAGAATAGAACAGAACAGAATAGCAGAGTTGGAAGGGACCTTGGAGATCTTCTAATCCAATCTCCTGCTCAGGCAGGAAATCCTACACCATTTCAGACAAATCGTTGTCCAATCTCTTCTTAAAAACTGGAGAATTGACAACTTCCACAGGCAAGTTGTTCTATTGGTTAATTGTTCTGTCAGGAAATTTCTTCTTAGTTCTAGGTTGCTTCTCTCCTTGATTAGTTTCCATCCATTGCTTTTTGTCCTAACATCAGGTGCTTTGGAGTGTAGCTTGACTCACTCTTCTTTGTGGCAACCCCTGTGATATTGGAATACTGCTATCATGTCACCCTTAGTCCTTTTCATTAAACTAGACATACCCAATTCTAGCAACCTTTCTTATTATGTTTTGGCTCCAGTCCCCTAATCATCTTTGTTGCTCTTCTCTGTACTCTTTCTAGAATCACATCTTTTTTTACATTGTGGTGACCAAACCTGGATGCAGTATGCCAAGTGTGGCCTTACCAAGGCATTATAAAATGGTATTAACACTTCACATGATCTTGATTCTATTCCTCTGTTAATGCAGCTTAAAACTGTGTTGGATTTTGGCAGCTATAGCATACTGCTGGCTCATATTTCAATGATTGTCCACTAAGAGTCCAACATCTCTCACACAGTTACTACTATTGAGCAAGGTACCACCTATATTATAGCTGTGCATTTTGTTTTTCTTGCCTAAATGTAGAACCTTACTTTTTTCATCCTTGAATTTCATTTGGTTAGATAGCACCCAATGTTCAAGTCTGTCAACATCCTTTTGAATCTTAAGCCTATCTTCTGGAGTATTGGCTATTCCTCACAGCTTGGTGTCATCTACAAATTTGATGTGTTTCCCATCTATCTCCTCATCCAAATAATTGATGAAGATGTTGAAGAGTACTGGCCCTAAAACAGAGCCTTGGGGGTACCCCACTGCATATTTCCCTCCAGTTCCATTGAGTACTCATTGAGTGTGGTCAGCCAGTTAGGAATCCATCTGGTGATGAAGTTGTCTAAACTACAATCTACTTATCAAGTAGATTATTATGGTCTCCTTTGTCAAATACCACTATATACTGGACTTTTCCTATAATACATATACATATACACATAGATAGATAGATAGATAGATAGATAGATAGATAGATAGATAGATAGATAGATAGATAGATAGATAGATAGATAGATAGATAGATAGATAGATAGATAGATAGATACATACATACATACAGTACATACAGTACATAAAGTACATGTACTAGTTATTACACTCTTCATAATGATAGCAAAGGGTTTTTCATGGAATCATATAATCCAAGACTAATCTCCTAGTCCAACCCTTTACGTTTGACCCTGTATTTGCTTTCTATGTCTCCTGTTTTATAGCTGAGTTTCTTCCTTCTCATCATTCTCAGACTCATTGTCTGATTTGTTGTATTGTGTTTATGCTTTGGGTTTGGTCCTGTAAATTGGTTTCCTTTCTCCCTCCTGTTTGTTGGGACTTAGCTGACAATGTCTCATGGCTAGTATAACCATGAAGATCTTGTATCTTCAGATCCTTCACTTGCTCTATAAATTTGCACTATGTAGACATAATCAGCATTGCATCTTTTTCTTCTTTGTGTCTTGCATTACTGAATTATTTTGTGTCTTGAATTATCTTTGTCCTTCAGCAATCTGAGTTTGTTTAGGCCATACTTACTTGCTAACCATTTTTTTTCTGAATTCCCTGTGAAGTCAACTTGCTTCCTGTCATTGCCTAAGCCCTTTCCTTCCCCTTGATGAAGAAGTATGTAAAAAAATGTTTCTCTCCTCCCAGCTACTTTTCAGGTTTATATTATCAATCACAAGAAGAAACTGGATTTCTGGAGATAACATCTCATGACGGCAGATAAGCTCTTCATTTTGTCAGCCTAAAGTGATAATAATTTTTGTTACTGACCAAGCAGATTTAGATTTTTCGTACACTTTGGAAAATTAAAAGTGTCCTAATTGATTTATAGTCAAGCTATTTGTTTTAAAATGCTTCTTCTAAAAATGTATAATAGAATATCATGGGCTATATATGTAGCATAATTTTAAGTAAGGACTGTTTTGGTTATTTTTGAAACTATGATTGAAACTAAGAATAGGTAATTAGATTTAGATTTATGGACCTTGACCTTGATTTCACACCAATTGTAATATATTGCTATACCTTGTTCAGTTCAGTTGTTCCATTTTACTTTATTTTAATTTTAATTTTAAAATTAAAATATTTAATGTTTGTGCTGCTCATAATAAAGATTGAATGAGTGAATGAACGAATGTTTAGATTTTAAATGCAGAACAATAAACAAAGCTTTGGCAAAGGATTATTTATTGTTCAATCAAGTATCCCTTCAGTAAGGTGAAGAGATTGCTTCTCATGGACATTAGAAATGAAAAACTTTATTAAACCAATTCTTAAAATTTCTTTCATTTTACTCTCTTCCTCTAATGCTTAATTTCTTGGAATATGCCCCATTTTGCAACTTATTTTGTTTTAGCCTGAATTACATTGATTTTCCATTGCTTTATGTAATTCAGTCAAAGACAAATGTGCAATTTTACCATCTGTCAAAGGAAAGAAAAAAATATCTTTCTTTTTATAATTTTAAATGACATTTAATTGATATTGAGGAAAGCACTCTTTCTAGATAAAGAGTAGTGCATGAAAATACCTACCCTACTTATTACAGCCCAAACTGTTACAGATGTTTGAGATTCTCAAAGCCTTTCGGCATAGAATGACATTCCCAAATGGTTAAATTCCAGCTGGTATTGCAAGTGTTCAGTACTTAAGAGATGCTTTAAAGCTGCCTGTCGAAGCTGTAAAAAAAGATATTAACAATCATGCTTGTTACTAATTCTACAATCACTGTTAAATCATTGATTGTCTACTATTCTTTTCTCCTGTTATCACAACATTCTTGTGCTTTTTATGACAGTTATAACAAGTTAAATTTATAGTTGAGTTTGATCATATTTGTATCTAGCTCCCTAAAGTAACTAAGGATGCAAGCAGAAATAAATAAAATCCACTCCATTCTTTTAGACATATGGATTTACTATCCTTACTTCTCATTGCATTTTTCCAGTTAAAATTTGTACATCATTTGAGGATTCTTCTGTTTTTGGCACCTTAACATGCAGAAAATAGCTGTCACCAAGATAATCACTGCACACATCTATCTATGTGTCAATTATGTTCTTCACTGGATTGGGAAATCCTTCTCATGATCATTCTTGTCCCAGTGACTTCCCACTTGTACTACTGAATTTTATGTGCAGTTTTTGAAGACCACTCAGAAACTAAACTGCCCACAAAATATCCCTGTTCTATAAGCTCACTGGTCATTAGAAGGATTCCAGCTACAACTATATGTGATAGTTTTCCTATAAAATTCTATGTGTATTAGAGCTTGATTACATTCAGAACCATTTTTTCCCTGTAATTTCTGCCTGACTTGTAAGAGCTGGTAGAGCAACTCCAGGTATAAAATATTGTCCCTTTAGGGAATATAGGATATACACTTCTGTAGCTGTAGCTAAACATGCCTCAAAGATTTGAAAAGTCCATTTCATCATAACTCTATTAACCTGGCTATTTAAGCAATAACCTGGCTATTTAAGCAATTTTGTAGTAGAAAATAATATTCCTAAAGGTTCAATAGTTCTGTTGTTCTTATCATTTTTATTATTGTTTTAATCATAGTTTGTAAACCACCTAAAGTTGCTTGATAATTGAGGAACTCAAAAAAATCTAATGAACAAAATTTGTATTTGTGTATATATGTGTATATCAATCAGTGACGTGCAGTCAGGGGAGGCAGGGGAGACAGAGCCTCACCACTGTCATCATGAAAAGAAAAAAATGTAAAAGGAAAAAGGCTGAGGTAGTTGCTGCCAGAGTCACAGTGAATATGCTGCTTAGTGCTTAACTGTTTAAAAAAGCCTCTAAAAAGTGCCCTCTACAGGAGGAGGCAGGAGAACCACGTACCTCATTTTGTCTGACTTTATGATCACTCGAGCAGAGTTAAGCAAAAGTTAAAAGCCAAAAAATTCCTTATGTAGATGAGGCACGTGGTTCTCTTGCCTCCTCCTGTAGAGGCCGTTTTTTTAGAGGCTTTTTTAAACAGTTAAGCAGAGTCATCCATTGGGGACTCTGGCAGCAGCTAGCCCAGGCTGACCTCAGCAGCTCTTGCCTTTTTCCTTTTACATTTTTACATTTTCATGATGACAAGCAAGAGCAGAGTTGAAATCCTCTGTGAAACAGCTGGAAAAGGTATGTGGGTCACAGGGAGGGGGAGGAATTCAAAATTAATGTAATTTGTAAGTAATTGTAAGTAATTTTTGTGTGTTTGTGCATGTGTTTGTTTCTTCACTCAAACAAACTCTCAATTAGAGAGAGAGTTTGTTTGAGAGTGAAGAGAGGGAAAGGGGGTAGGAGAGGCAGGGAGGGCAGCCCGTCAGCTTTCTTTCTCTGTGTCCACGGCAGCCCGCCAGCAGAGGTGGGTCTTTTGCCCACCTCTGCTGGCAGGCTGCCGCTTTCTTTTGCCCAGAGGTGGGCAGTTCAGGCGAGCTGGGGGGATGGCGCTTTCTTTCTTTTGCCCAGAAGCAGCAGCCCACCTGAGCTGCCCACCTTTGGGCAAAAGAAAGCGAGCTGGCGGGCTGGTGCTTTCTTTCACCCGCCTGTCAGAGCTCAGGCGGGCGAAAGAAAGAAAGTGCTCTTTCGCCCGCCTGTCAGAGCTCAGGCGGGCGAAAGAAAGAAAGCACTTTAGACAGTGGGATGTCGGGGGAGAAGACTGCCTCACCAGCCATAAACTTCACCACATGTCACTGATATCAGAAGTGGGTTGCTGCCAGTTCGGCCCAGATCAGCTGAACTGATAGTAGCGGCGGTGGGATGCTCTGCCTACCCACCTGGAAGCTTCTGGACAGAACTGTTGCACACATGCTGGAGCGCACATGGGAGCGCATGCAGGAATGTGCCCAAACCGGTAGTAAAAAAATTGGCAACCTAATTCTGGTGTATATGTGTATATATACTGGCTCTGTGTGTATATATACTGGCTAATCTAAGGAAGGACAGTGATGATCTTGAAAGGGAACACCACCACCAGCTACTAGCAAATAACCTGCCTCCCAAAACATGGAAAGACTTAGTCAGGTATTATAGCCACCAAGGTACAGGACCATTATGGACTTGTACATAAGCCAGCCCAGAAAGGCACTGGGAACAACACTAGAGGCTAAAAACAGCAATTGCTCATAAATAGAATAGTTACCCAAGAGTGAAGGTCTAGACAGATCAGTCTGAGTACACCTAAATTGACTACAGGAATGCCTACAGCCTAATGCAACAGATATGTATCTGTAAATGCCTGGCACTATACAAAGTTAACATGACATTAAGAATATTTTTAAGTACTCAATGGGACTGTAGAAGCCAAGCTTTAAAATCAACTCAAGAAAGCTCACATAATTGCAATATATACCAAGGTGATGCACTGTTTTTGTTATTGTTTTGCATGTGCTTGAACTCCTTCAGCCAGATAATCACAATAGCCAAATGGTAGTCAAGAAAAGAAAAATAATTAAGATTTATGAGTCACATAGCAGACATACAGATCGGGTACAAATATCTTGTTGCCTACAGTCACATGGGAATCATGAGGAATCATACCATCATCAGCTGTTTATTAGCATAGTGCATTTCTTCTTTCATTTCTGTTTGCTGCATCTTCCTGCTTCTTGCATAACACCTGTCTTCCTGTGATTTCAGTTGCAAGCACATGACTCGGCCACGTTCCCAGCTAGGTGAATAGGTGTGATGTGGGACATAACATGGAACATCAATAGTGTGACACATTTTAATAGAATAATTTATCAAACAAGAAGTTACATTATAATCAGAGCTGTGCAATTCATATTCAAAGGGGAAATGTCCATATATGAGCCATTTGTGCATTTACAAATCTCCATTTGTAATTCCACCTGACCAAATTACTTTTAAAAAAAGTATTGTTAAAGGAAGTATATTTTAATAAAACTTAGCAATAACTTAGTAATAAGGTTGTGCAATGTTTCATTCTTAAATGAAAAATGTTATTTGGAGATCACAAGATATTTAAGTAGCACCAGTCAATAACAACTTAAGGTAGTTGATCTTTGCCTGGGATGAGGTGCAATAAAATTTGTGACTGGTAGGAGAGGAACTGGACTTTAATCCAGAATATACTTTCAGTATATACTTTCAGTATATTCTAGATGCTTTCTGTCAAGATTCTACAACACCCCCCCCCCCACAAAAGCATATATTTATGCCACATTTTTATATGTGTAATATTAGACCCTTCTCCCAGAATCCTTGTCTTCCTCCCTACATTATTCAAAAAATCCCGATTTTCCAAAAGAAAGAAAATCAATTTTAAAAAGGACGCCGTAAATTTTTTATTTTTAATTTTTCTGAAGTGTCATTCCCAATGTGACCTTTAGAGGGCAGTGGTTTCCCTCCCTCCCCTCCTGCCCGTGCGCGCACCGACGCAGGCCATTTTTCTGCAGGGAGAGCGGCGGCAGCGCAGTGAAGAGGCAGGTGGGGATCCGGTTGGGAGAGGCTGGCGATGGGGGTGGCTTTTGAAAAGGTTGGGGGCGTTGGGGGAAGGCAATCAGGGGAAGGCTGCTTTGCAACTGCCAGTGAAGTCCCATTCCCCCGCTCTTGCCTTTACTTCTGCTTGCTCCATCCCAGCAGAGGCTGAGCCCTCCTCTTATTTGGACCTCCTGCATCCCCCTCCCAAACGGACCACCCCTTTCAAGCAACGAAAGCCATTTTAAAGCCATTTTTTAAAAAAATCCCACTTTTAAGGTGGTGAGCAGATCTAATGCTCCTTCCG